CCACGTCGGTGATCCCATACAGCACGAGAAAAAAAAGTACCAAGTGTCTTCGGTCGGTTTGGCTTGGTGGGTCGAATAACGGTCAAACACGCTCAGTGTTATTCAACTTAGCCATATCTCTGTCTCTTTTCAAGCGTCAGGAAAAGAATTACAGGGGGCATCACAGAATCGTAAGGAGATAGAAGAAAAAACGGTAATGATGGTTATCGCTTGACCCAGTTTTGTTGACGACTAATCGCAATTTAGGTAATTAGTTTTGACTAAGAAATTACGTGGATAAAGGTCTTCAATTAACAACATCCCCCAGGGAAAAATATATACAAAATGTATGTAATATAAGACAATTTTATAGATTCTTCGGATATTTATGATATTATAACTTTTAAATCAGACCAATTCCGTGGATAAAATATATAATTTTCAGAATATTATTTTTCATCCCGCTGTGACGAAAAGTGAACTTTTCGGCACGCTCCGCGTGCTTAAAAATCCAATTTCCGCCACATTGTGATGAAAAATATTGTTCGTAACTCGTGAAAAAATGTTTTTTGGCACTCGTTACGAAATATACTATTTTTCGTAGGTAATAATAAAATTAGACGATTACAATGCTTCCGTTCGGAAGCGAAAAATGGAAAATTATTGTCAAGGTATTCCTGTAGAAGCTGTCTCAATTTCAGGTTTCACTGAAAATTCGGTAAAATGCCAGAACTTTAAGCAGCATAAAGACGAGAATTCCTTAAATTACACTGAATTATCAGTGAAATCTGAAATTTCATGATTTTTTCCCCCTAAATTGCATTCAGTGTCACTGTCCTGAAAATTCAAGAATATATTTACCAGAATTTTCTGGTTTTCTGTTCATTTTCAGGGAAAAATGGACGCGAAATTTACAGTTCTCTTTGTTTTTTTCACGAAATTCTGAATGTTTAATGACGAAATTTCTTCAAATTCCAGTGATAAAAATTAAATTCGATAAATTCGATGAAAATTTCCAAAAAGTGTACCGATAATTTCTGACAAAATTTGTTAACAGTCTAGAAAAAATTATCCATAATTATGAATATATTTACCAGAATTTTCTGGTTTTCTGTTCATTTTCAGGGAAAAATGAACCCGAAATTTACAGTTCTCTTTGATTTTTTCACGAAATTCTGAATTTTTAATGACGAAATTCCTTGAAATTCCAGTGATAAAAATTAAATTCGATAAATTCGATGAAAATTTCCAAAAAGTGTACCGAAAATTTCTGACAAAATTTGTTAACAGTCTAGAAAAAATTATCCATAATTATGAAATTCCACAGATTTCTCTATAAAATGATTCCTATTGAAAAAACGCGGAATAAATCTGCGGAATTCCTCAACAAAATCGACCATTCGAAAACTAATAGACATTTTCAATAGAAATCCGATCGAATTTTCTATCGAATTCGCTGTTTTTCTGTAAAATTTGAAAGGAAAACGTCTGTTCTGCATGAACTCGAAAAAATATGTTTTCCCCATTTTCCTTCAGCAAAAAAACACCAACACTTTTATCCTTGTTTTTGTTTTTTCACTGACAAAAGTAGCTGACTCCAAACGACCCAGAAAAATCATAATAATCCCTCATTAACACTCCACATGACCCACATATCCCCCCCCCCTCCCCACCGAAATGAAAACGAAATAAAAAATGTAAGAGTTCGAATGACTCAATCAAAGATGAAATTACGTTTTCGGTGAAAACGTATTCGAGATCACCCGCTGACCCACTGGTGGTAGGTTCGCTCAACTTTCCATGATGTTTTCTTTGAAAACAACTAACGGAAGTTCCCTGAATCACGTCACTCCTTACAGTTTTTTCTTCTCGGTTTAATTTATTCTCTTTCACTCAAAAACGAGGGGAAAAAAATTATTTCCCCAGAGTCCTGTCACGTTGCGAGAAAGTTACAATTGAAGTTCCTCTGGATAAATGATTTTGTATTGGCTATTAATATGGGAATTTCCCCGTCGGGGCAGATTGATGACGATAATTGAACCTCGATTATTAGTGCTGCGATGATTATTCAGATTCTCCTGGGTTTTTTTCATCTTTTGATAAAAACGGAAATTAGAAACTGCGAGGGATTCGAGATGACTTATGGGGTCTCGTAATTTCTACATAAGTACACACATAAGACGTTGGACAAACAGGTTTCGTGTGTTCCTGCAATTAACAGTAAATAAAGGACTGTCGTAATTTTTCAAACTTTTTCACTGGATTTAATGCGGGTATTTATAGAACGTGTTCCACTTAGCGGAGGATATGTGATGAGAATATGTGATGTGAACAAAGATATCCCTGGAATTCTGATTTTCAAAAAATAGAAAATTTTTGCAATTTTTCAAATAAATCGAAATAACGATTATTGATATCGCCGTTATCTTCGAATGCTTCCGAATGATTATTTTGCAAGTCAGTTCCTTCTATCATGTATAATTCATTGTTTATTTCATTTTATTAAATTGAATAAGATTTATTTTCAACTAATTTTGTCAGATTTTCAACGTAATTGAATTTTGTCGTCATCATTATTCTTATTATCCCTTTCTTCTGTACAACCGATTGTCTTTTTACGGTTCTCTCTCTCCCCTCAGACCTTCGATAAAATGTTGATAGAAAAATTTTATTTATACATACTTGAAGGAATTTGAAACATCACATTTGAAGAAACCATCAGGAAGCTCACTTTCAGGGAAATTCATGAAAAATTCGAAATTTTCAAATAAATCAAAATGACGATTATGACTGTCGCCTTCATCTTCGAACTCGGTCGAAAGGACAGTCAAACAAATTTTTTAAGCCATCATTCAATCAATTCAGGACATTTTTTTAGTTATCGTGGGACAAACGATTTTCGAAAACATTAGAAGATTAAAAAACTAATCGATGAATTGAATTTTAATTAATGGCGATTGACAGGGCTGAACAATACCTTCATTTGAAAAAAAAGATTCAATTCCATCCAAATCTCAGAGGGTGGCGGAAATTGGGTCACTGGCAATAACTGGGCCATTGACAGTAATTAGATGCGGGGACGTCTTCACTTGGCGAGGAATCGGAAATCAAGTGTTTCGGAATAGATAAACGGGTAACAGGATTTTTCGGGGTCGACGTGCCGCCCGAAATGTCAAATTGCCCAATGGATAACGGATTCTGGAGTTTTGCCCAATGATCGGTGCTTGTGGGTGATCAAGGCGATGGGAGTAATCAATTTTTTATTATTCCACACTGTTAGAAAAATAAAATTTTATGAGCAGTGTCGTAGGTAGTAACTCTCGTGAGAGCGACATTGAAGTCAATTTAGAATGGAAATAAGTGGGAAATTGCTTTCGTCACAGCATAGTCAATATTTTTGCTAGTAAACTAGCAATTTGCTTCCGGATGGAATTTCTATGACGATGTATTTCAAGGATGTCCAAGTACTTTGGCAATTTCAAATAAATAAGATCTCACGGTGAATACCAAATATTTTTTCTTCTTGAGATACATTTATTTGAATCAAATAAAACAGTCCTTGGCGTCAAGTCACATGTATTCACCACAAAAATGGAAAAGTTCTATTTTTTTAAATCTAATACAATCTCCAGTCGAGACATTTTCTACTTTCATGAATTGATAAAAAACTCGTAGCTAGGAGATGATTACATTGAGGAATGAATTGAATGTTGTTTTCTCGAATGAAGCCGATGTTTAAATTGAGCTTTCCGTACATCACATTGAACGAAATTTCTGATATCCCAGTTTGTATTGAATTGCCGTAATCTGTGATTCTGTTGTTGTAAACTAATGCGATTTTTTTTAGTCAAGAAATGTAAACTTCTTTCAACTCAACGACATCTTACTACAATCTCAAAGCTTTTTCCGCGTAACAATATTCATCCTGATTCGACATACGAAATGCTCACTTCAATTATAATTTACTTGGAACAACGTATGATCGTGTTGATTGAGATAACAACGTATTTAGTCATGAGAATAATTTTGATTTTTGAGTAAACCAACGAATTTCTGGAGTAGGCCAACTTTTGGCTAGAGAGAAATCAAATACTCTCATTATTGCGACAAATAAAAGGAACTTCAATTCTAGAGAAGTTCAATTCCTCCCCATAAAATGTATCTCAAGGAGAGGTAACTGGTATTCACTATGAAATCATGTTTATTTGAAAATCAAGAACCAATTGATAGTTGGTTCAAATAAAATTCTCTTCATAAAATTAATTTTTTCTGTTAGTGTAGCGTATGTCACAATATCTTCTAATTAACTAAATAATGTGACAATTGGTGCGCAAATGATCAATTGCTTTTCACCCATATGAAAGAGTGGAAAATACTCAGCAAATTGGAAAGAATGAATTTATCTATTCTCGATAGGCAACTCTCTCATTTGTGCATACACATGTTTTATTCATGCTCGCTTTTCACATTTTCTTCTACTATCCACACGTGTAATGTTGCAAACAATTGCATTACCTGTCTAAACTATAATACTTAATCTCTGTTTATTTGTGATCTCATCATTTTCATATCGGTTATGAGGTGGGGTAAACTCCGTAACAGGTGGTGGTGATGATGTGCCGACCTGATGTACACTGTTAAAAATTTTCGTCTGAATTTTCGGTGCTAAACTGCGGAAATTTTTATCGTGTTCAAGTTCCACTGAAATTTCAGGAAATGTTGTCATTGAAAAATCAAATATTCCATTGATTTTCTGTGCAAATTATCTGGAAATCAGTAAAATACTTGATTTTTCAGTTCAATGATTCTGTGAAAATTCAGAAAAATCAGGAAAATTCAGGGAAAAATTGAAAAGAGAGATTTACGAGATTTACTAATAGAATTGTGTAGCGAATTCGCTAGATTTTTCTATGAATTTTTTTCATACGTTACTTCGTGACAAAACATTTCAGAATTCTAAATGACGATGACTTCCGAAGAATAAAAGGAGTTGAAATAATTATTCTTCTCTTCTGTTTCAGAAAATTACTGTAACATCCAAAGAATATTATGATAAATCAAAGATGGAGTCTGAGAACCGGCCTCTTCCTCCTCTGCCTAGCGATAATTTCACACAACACTTTAGGTAACAGCCTAATTAATGCATTCTATTAAAATGGTCAATAGAAAAGTCAATAGAATTCGATTTTTCTATAGTCCCTATTCTATTAAGATATTTTCTACAGAATTTTCTACAGAATTTCAAAAGCCACGAAAAGATTATCTGTGGATTTCTCATGAACCCTTTCGTTTTAGAGATCTGAATTAGAAAATCTAAACATGAAGATGGATTAATTCTCTTTCATCCCTTTACGAACAAATACTCAATATAATAGTCTTCACAATCAATTATCCTACAAAATGATAACGTGAGATCATTAATTATACAATATTATAATAAATTGTTTCATAAATGCCACAGGAGCAGTTTTGAGAGATGCGAAGGAGCGAGCCAAGCGAGAAGCTGAAATAAAGAGAACAAACTGGACTGAATTAGCTGACAAATGGCTAAAGGCGAAAGGAAGGATCGAGGAAAAATTTGTGACTGTGGTACCAGATACAGCAGAAATCCGGGACCTGCCACCGACTCCTGAGACCGTTGTCGACGGGATGAGCGTGGAGGACATGCGCAGGGTAATAATTAATGAATTCATTAATTATTCATCTCTCTATATTACGAAAATCCAATTCGACGTCTGACGATAGAAAGTTAAGACGAAAAATTAAGACTCGAAAGCAAAGGTGATTGGGGTCATAAGGATCATGAGGGTCATGTGAGGGTCAAATGAGGGTCACATGAGGGTTATATGAGGGTCGTATGGGGGTTATGTGAGGTTTATAGGGTAGTTCTACGAGGGTCATATGGGGGGTACATCAGGGTTATATGGGGGTCACATGAGGGTTAAATGAAGGTCACATGAGGGTTATATGAGGGTCACATGAGGGTTAAATGAAGGTCACATGAGGGTTATATGAGGGTCACATAAGGATTACGAGGGGGTTATATCAAGTTCATATGAGGGTCATATGAGGTTTCCGAGGGGGTCGTATAGGGTTTATATGGGGATTATATGAGGGTCATGGAGGTCACATAGGGGTTATATGAGGGTCATATAAGGGTTATATGGGGGTCCTATGAGGGTTATATGGGACTGAAACGCTTTCAATTACGTATAATTAATCGTTTTCTCATTATTTATTGTAATAAAAAAAGTGTCTTCCATCCAATTTTCCCATAAAAAAACAGACTGCATGCTTTTGCTCAATTATCCTCAATTATCTCAAGAACGAGTGATCTGAGAAGAAAACATCACAGAACTTTTTTGTAGAAGAAATAATTATCTACAAAAAATGTTCTATGACAATTTCATGTAAAACCATTTGTTACCAAAATAATTCTGCTCTAATATTGTCCGTAAATTCAAATCTAATGATTTTTAAATTTCAGTAATTGAATGAATGTTCTTTTCTCTATCAGACGAACTATTCAAGAATGCTATGGGGCATGGAAAATGCCCAGCAGCTCTCCCTCTTCGACAAAGCATTGAAGCTTCTGGATCTGCGACAAGTGATGTTCGAAGTGGAGACGTCAGTGATGTCTAAAGTCTCCTGCTCAGCTTGCATAGCTGGCGCTGGACTCCTCCAGCATTACATTAAATCTGGGAAAACTGACAAGGAGATCATGAGCAGTATCTACCAGTTCTGCGTTTCCCTCAATATTCAGAGTCCCAGGGTGTGCCAGGGTGTGACATTGCTCTTTGGGGTGAGTTGGAAATGAAAAACTATTCGATATCATGAGAATCTGCACAGAAATCCGAATTCTGTGTAATGGCTTTATAAATATCAGCATCACGTCTCCATATTAGTATAACCTTGTTTGACCCTTAGCCCTGAAGGTCATCAAGGATCGTTTGACCCTCAATTAAAGACGAATTCTTCCAATGTTTTTTAAAGACAATAAGACCCTTAATTTCAAACATTATTGAGGGTTGTTTGACCCTTACGACCCTTTCACCCCTAGCCCTTAAAGTCATCAAGGATCGTTTGACCCTCGAAACCATTTGGCCCTTACGACCCTTAGCCCTGACGTCATTAAGGGTCGTTTGACCCTGGAAACCATTTGACCCTTACGGCCCTTAGCCCTGAACATCATCATGGGTCATTTGACCCTCAAAAGCATTTGACCCGTACGACCCTTTGACCTTTAGCCCCGGCGTCATCACGGTTCGTTTGACCCTCGAAACCATTTGACCCTTACGACCTTTGACCCTTAGCCCTGACGTAATCAAAGGTTGTTTGACCCTCAAAACCACTCGACCCTCAACTAAAGACCAAAAAAATTCTTCTTTTTCTTCCGTTTTGTTAAATTCCATAAAAATCATTTGAATTTCCCCTCGGGGGTGGTGAGATAATTCGTGAATTCTCGTGTGAAATAAAAACATCGAACATAATTCAGGGTGAAACACCAAGGACTTTCCCCATCTCGAGTAGAATCACTCGTGCCCGATTGATCCAGGAATAATTTGAAAATAAGAACGTGATAAAAGAAATTGAAATAAATGTGAGGAAGAAGAGGCAAACAAGACAGGCGTAAAAATGAGTGCATCGAGACTTTCTACTTGTAAATTGTAGCCAACTTGATTTCACCAATCACGTGGGGTTGCAGTGCAAGGTGCTCCTCCGGTGATAGAGGGAATATGACTTTTAGCCTTTATGGGACGATTTTATGCGTTCGCGAATGGTGTGGGGGATTATTTATTGCTAATACGGTTTGCAGTTTCTTGGTGGCAATTTTCGAGCGGTCATTCAATTGCGGAAATTCAGTTTTATCGGTTGTCCGACTATTTTCAGAAGATATTCGTGAGATTGTACTTGACTTTATGGTAATGACTCCGGGGGTTTCTCTTAGCGAATGACCGAATTTTTATTTTGATAAAAATCCGAAGAATAAGGGGGAATTCATTTCAGCTGAGGAATTTCTATGGACAAAATCTCGATAGGCCTTTCTTGCAGAAAATTTGATTGTGGAATTTAAGGGTCAGACACTAAATGTGAGAATATAAGGGTCAAAAAGGGGAGGTTAAAAAATGAGGGTCGGAATATTAGAGTGCAAAACTGAGGGCCTGAATGTAAAGGTGAAGGAATGAGGGTCAGAATGTTAGGGTTAAAAAAAGAGGGTCGAAATATTAGGATAAAAAAATTAGGGTCAGCATATAAAAGTAAAAAAAGTGGGTGTCAGGCAATGAGGGTCATATAAGGGCTAAAAACGGTGATCAAGCATAATACATGATTTATATTTAGACCCTCATTGCCTGACCCTTATATTACACTTAAAAGGGCTGCTACAACCCGACCTGATACCAAACAATCATTTTCGAATTGAAATAGCCATCTCCCAATTGAGTATAAAATATACTTCAATCAAGTATATTTTATACTCAACTCAGGTATTTTTTTTTCGCACAACATTCTTATAAAATTCTATGAAACATCGAATGAATCGTTATTTTTTTCTTCTCAGGGAGAAGTTATTTACGTCCTGAAGCAAGTGAACATGGATGCCAGTCAGATCTGCAGTTTCGTCATCGGTGATGCATGCGATGATAAATACAACCCTCAACACGAATGGGAAATAGCCTTTCCACCGGTTAAGAAACCTCCGGTGATTGCCCCGGTGCCACCGAAGGAGGGATCGAGGACTTTCAAAGTCCTCCACATCTCGGATACCCATTATGATCCTTATTATCACGAGGGGACCAATGCTGTGTGCAATGAGCCACTCTGTTGCAGACTTACTAATGGTCCTCCTACCTCTCCTGCCAATGGGGCGGGGAAGTGGGGGGATTACAGGAAGTGCGATACACCAAAGAGGACTATTGATCATATGCTCAAACATATCAACAGCACGCATCCCGTGAGTAGATGGCAATTTTTGAATGGAATTTGTAAATAAATTTGCCCAGAAAAAAAACGGACAATGCCAACGCTTAATAAAACCATTGAACTAGGAACTCGAATTTTTTCAGCATTTTTAAACATCGAGAATTACTCTAGAATATAAAAAAACGAAAATGGGCGGCACCGCACTCATTAAGCGAGTGATCGAGAATTAAACCTTGACGAAACCTTGGTTAAGGATGTTCGACACCCTTTTAGCCAAAATTGACGTTGTTTTCATTTTTCTGGCAAATTATCGATGGGAGTGACGTGAAAAAATATAACGATTTTGTGGTTTGTCATTCTTTAATGGCTCACGAAGTTGCGTAGTGGTGCGATAATTTTCATGCGTTTTTTCTACAGTTTTGTGATTCTTTTTAAAAGTTTAGAGAAAACGCAGGAAAATGTTCGCACCACCTTAAAAGTTCGTCAGTCATTCAATATTGACAAAACGCAAAAACGTTATATTTTTTCACGTCAATTCCATCATAAGTTTGCCAGAAAAATTAAAAAAACGTGAATTTTGGCAGAAAGGGTGTAGAACATCCTTGAACCCTGATTAACCTCTGACTAAATCCCAACTAAACCTTGACTAAACTCCGACTAAACCCTGACTAAACCCTGACTAAATCTCGACTAAACCCTGATTAAATCCCAACTAAACCCCTATTAAATCCCGACTAAACCCCGACTAATCCCTGACTAAATCCCAACTAAACCATGATAAAACGTGGATTAATTGCTTTTTAAGGCTACAATTTCCAAGCAAATGATGTGATCGCCACTATCTTCAGACTCGACCGAGATAACATCCAAACGAATATTTTAAGCCATAATTTAAAAGATTTCGAGGATTTTTTTGTTGAATCATCGTCGAAAACCTAAATTTGAAAAAAAAGCTCACATACATACACACATGCACACGGACACGATCTAAAAAACAGCATTTTCGAACTCCTGAGACCAAATTAGTCATCCTCACCCAAAAACATGGAAATTTCAGATTTGACGAATGCAATTTTCTATTTTCGCAAGGAGAAAGAAGAAAAACGCCAATATCTCGAAAAGTACAGGTTTAGTTATAGGTTTCCAACACTCAAAAAAAAAAAAATTCACTCAATTTGAAATTCCCTGTCGTCTCTCTCTCCCCCAGGACATCGATTACATCCTCTGGACGGGGGACCTGCCCCCCCACGACGTGTGGAACCAAACCCGCGAGGAGAACCTCAAGATCCTGAAGGACACAGTGACCCAGATGATAGAGACCTTCCCAGGGGTGCCGATATTCCCCGCCCTGGGGAATCACGAGTCGGCCCCAGTGAACAGCTTTCCTCCGCCATTCGTTCCCGAGGAGAACAGCATCTCCTGGCTGTACGACGAGCTGGACAAACAGTGGAGGCGGTGGCTGCCCGCTGGTGTCTCCCACACAGTCAGACGAGGTGCCTTCTACTCAGTCCTGGTGAGACCCGGTTTCAGGATCCTCTCGGTCAACACGAATTACTGCAACAACAAGAACTGGTGGCTGTTGATTAACAGCACAGATCCAGTCAATGAACTCCAGTGGCTCGTTTACGAACTCCAGGGGGCGGAGATGAACGGCGAGAAGGTGCATATTATTGGGCATATACCACCAGGACATTCGGATTGTCTTAAAGTTTGGTCTAGGAATTATTACAGTATCATCAATAGGTGAGTTTAATTGGAGAGACTTATTTGATTGAATTTTCAAATGAAGAAGCAACGAATTCTCAAAATAATCTGTCAAAATAATACATCGAATAATATAATAATGTACCTAATAATGAAAATAATAATATATAAATGTATTTCAGTATCACAAGGGTCAAAATAAGGGTCATGAGGGTCTATAAGGGTTACGAGGGTAAGAATAAAGGTCACGGGTGTCAGGATAAGAGTCGGGAGAGTTAGATTAAGGGTCACAAGGGTCAGATTAAGGGTCATGAGGATCAGATTAAGGGCCACAAAGGTCAGATTAAAGGTTATGAGGATCAGATTAAGGGCCACGAGGGTCAGAATAAGGGTGACGCGAGCCAGAATAAGAGTCACAAGGGTCAGATTAAGGGTCATGAGGGTTAGAATAAGGGTCATGAGGGTCAGAATAAGGGTCACAAGGGTTAGATTGAGTGGTATGAAGGTGAAAATAAGGGTCACGAGGATCAGATTAAGGGTCATGAGAGTCAGAAAAAGGGTCACGAGGACCAAATTAAGGGTCATAAGGGTCAGAATAATGGTCTAAAGGGTCACAAGAGGTAGATTAAGGGTCATATGGGTCAGATTTAGGGTCTAAAAAGGTCACAAGAATCAGATTAAGGGCCTTAAGGGTCACAGTAAGGGTCCAATTAGGAGTTGTGGGGGTTAGAGACTAAGGATCACAAGGGTCAGAATAAGGATCATGGAGGTCATATGAGGGTCATATGTGGGTTGGCGAGCGGAGCGAGCCGGGGACGTCCTCCCTGGTTTTTCAATAAAATCAGCCAAAAACTAACAGAAAGTTGCATAAAAATCCAATCGAATTTTCTATCGAATTCGCTAGGTTTTCTTATAATTTTCTTTGCCACGTGAATTCACGGAATCAATTTTTCATTAACAATATTCTCTCCGTCAGGTATGAGTCAACAATAACAGCGCAATTCTTCGGTCACACCCACTACGATGAATTTGAATTATTCTACGACACCTCGGATCTCGGTCGTGCCGTCAGCATAGCCTACATCGGGCCCTCGGTATCGCCGTACTACGATCTCAATCCTGGATACAGAATATATTACGTCGACGGGGATGACAAAGCCACGACCAGAATGGTCGTTGATCATGAATCCTGGATTATGAATCTCAAGGAAGCTAATCTCTACAATTTTCCAATTTGGTATAAATTGTACAGTGCACGACAGGCGTATCAAATGGCATCGCTTCTGCCGAGGGATTGGGACTCCCTCATTGACAAGATGACTCATGAAGCCTCCAATTTCGATCTTTATTACAAGTGAGGCTTTTATTGGTATTATATCGATACGTCAACAGAACACTAAGAAAAAAATATATTTTTGCCAAATATCCATTTACTTGAGAGAAGTATTAATTTTTTTGAAATTGAATTTCTCTATCTGAGTCATTCCCAGACGAGCCTGATTAGGTTTCAATTATGACAATCATGTTGCTCTAGAGGAAGACTGTGCTGTACACGACCTTGGATGAACTTCTTCAATGATTATTCATTTTTCCTAAATTTCTGATTTTCTAGAGGGAAGAATTTTGATGAACTTTTTAATGTCGATAATTATTGAGGGATTTCACTCAAGATCATCGCTAACGTGATCATCTTTTAGAGCAATATAATTATCATAATGAAGCCTAATGAGGATTGTCTGGGAATGACTCGACAGGAGAAATATGGTATTGACAAAATAAATACTTCTCTCAAGTAAATAGATATTTGGGAAAAATAATTTTTTTTCTCAGTGTAGTAGATTATGTCATAAGGACGACAGGTCGAGGTTTGTGAGGAGTTTCTTAGCATTCCCTCATTCCGTCTCAATTTGTTGCAGACACTATTACAAAAATTCGCCGGTGCGACCCTCCTGCAACGACGAATGTCGCAAGCGCCTGCTCTGCGATCTTCGAAGTGGTCGCAGTCACGACAGAAAAGCCCTCTGTCAAAGCCTGGAGTCCCGAATCGACGGCGAGACACGAACGGGCTGGAGAGAATGGATCTACAATGGCTTGGCACTATCGTACGTACATAATTGGTGGATAAAAACGTACTATAACGGCGATACTGACACGAATAACGTCGCCTATTAGCCACAAACCAATAATACATAGAGCATGAGAAACTGGTGGCTTTGATCGACGATTTTAACCAATGGCAAATGGAATTGCTCAATTTTATCGTTAATTTATTAATCCACACCCTCAAGAATTTCAGAGAAAAACCTAGCGAATTCTATAGGAAATTGTATTGAATTTTTATTGAACCCCTATTGAAAGTTCTGTTAATTCTTTATTCCATTGAAGGATTCTGGAGCTTGACTGCGGATTTTTTCAATAGAAAATATTCAATTGAAACTATTTTATGGAAAAAATCAGTAGATTTTCTTCTTTCTCCACAATTTTTTCTATTGAGACGTTTTCAACAGGAATTCCTCGATATGAATTATATTTTTTTTGCCACTATTCTTCTTTCAAGTTCAAATTGAAATTGCAAATGAAAAAACTTGGAAAATTTCAGCTGAGAAATGTTTACAGAAAACGTCTCAATAAAATAAATTGTATAGAAAAATCGAATTCTATTGATTTTTTCAGTAGAAAGAAATATTTCATTGAACATTTCAATTGAAAAAAAAAACGCACAGATAAGCTGCGGAATTTTTTAGTAAAATTGGTCAAAAATTAATAGAAAGTTCAATAGAAATCCAATAAAATTTCCTAGCCAATTCACTGGGGTTTTCTATGATTTTTTGTTCGGATCACCTCTCTCTTCTTCATCTTACCTTTTTACTAAATTTAGTCTGATATTTTTCGCATTATTTAATTTACTGAGACTGAACGCACGACGAATTGTGATGATGAGGGCCAATGATTGAAAACAAGTGCCATTTAGGGATAATTTTGCAATTGCTAGAATTAATTGGATGATTGAGTTTAGGACACTGGGTAAAAATGAAACATGAGGAATAACATCTACTTAACAGAATTCGGAAAACTTTTTTTTTGTTTGAGTTGAGGGTCAAACGCTCTTGAGGGTCGGAGCATTTGCCCCTGAATTTTCAATATCCTGGAGGGTTTATTGACCCTCATTGACCATTTGACCCTTGACTTTATACATCTTCAAAGGTTTTTTGACCTTTAAGACCATTTTTGACCCTCAATTCTAAATATTCTAAAGGGCCATTTGATCTTTAAGACCATTTGACCCTTAACTTTAAACATCCTCAAGGGTTTTTTGACTCTTAAGACCATTTGACCCTCAATTCTGAATGTTCTAAAGAGTCATTTTCCCCCTCAGACTATTAGACCCTCAATTCTAAACTTGTAAAGGGTCATTTGACCCTTAAGACCATTTGACCCTCAATTCTAAATGTTCTAAAGGGTCATTTGACCCTTAACACCATTTGACCCTCAATTCTAAATGTTCTAAAGGGTCATTGACCCTCAATTCTAGCCGTTGTAAAAGATCATTTGACCCTTAAAACCATTTGACCCTCAAACTGAAATGGTCTTGAAGGTCAAACCATTCAGAGTTTCCTGAAATGGTGTTCAGTTTTCTGAAATTTGATAAATAGTCGTTTTTCTTGTTGTCTTATTTCGCGCTTCCTTAGTTAAATGGTCTTTTCATGGTGTAACGAATGAAAAAAATGAGTTTTGTTTAACATGAATTTATCTTACTACCAGGTATTTTCAAGAGGAAATGCCACAATACATTTATTGTTGAGAATTTTCTCAACTACAAAAATGATCTTTCGACCTTTCTTTCTAAAACCACTAGTTTCCATAATAAATGCATCAGATTGCAGTGATATGCAGTAGTTAAACAGTAAAAACAGAACAGTAGAACCGAATTGCAAGAATATTCTGTGAATATTTTAAAAAGAAAAGGCTTTGAGGAAATTTATTAAACGACATTTTTGGATATTTATGGATATGGCTCTCCCTGCTGCTAAACTCACTAGTTATCGAGATGAATGCACGTCTAATCCACCGAATATTTGCAACAACTTTCATTTTCATTTTGTTTAATTATTGTTTCAGGAAACTCTTTTCTAAAAAACTTACTGGCTCAGATAATAATTAGAATAATTGTAGCACCTTCGGCTTAAATAGTTTACTTCTCGTGTGTATTTTAACAACTACTTCATGACGTTTAAGATTGATTGTCCTACGACATTCGATGAGAATCGATGAAGTGTATAAAAAACCGGTGATTTACTGAATAAAATGCGTTTGGATTTGAGGAAGCTTTCACGAAATTGCTGTATTATACTCTCGACGCTTCAGTTTTCTTCCAGAACCGTGAGATAATGGGATTTACAAATTTGTTTCTCCTTGATTTATTGTGTATATATTTTTTGAGAGAAGTCCCCGGAGGTTTGCAAGTACTATTAATTTTTTTGTACAGCCTTAACTGGTGGTGGAAACAACAATGGTGATAGGTATCCACAGCACCTTGTAAGTAAACCCACGAATATCAATATATAAGAGACGAATAAAAATAATTTTATTGCTCCACTACTGAACTCATTAATCAGCTCCTCGATATTTTTTACTAATTACGCTTTCTCTGCTCTATTAGGATGTCTGTGGTCATGGCAATTCCGAGATTTGCCTACAATTTACCCAAGTACGTCCTAGGATTGGGCTAGAACAGCTCCAGTACTGCCAAATGAGGAGAAAAAGTTTTTGTGATTTGATGTAATTTAAAAAACCGCGGATCCTTGCGATTTTTTTTCGTATTCAATCCGTCGAACGTCGAAGGAAATTTATGATCTCCTGTTTTGTGTCAAAATCGACGATAATCGGTGGGCAATTTTCATTAAGTTGAGCAATTGCTATTTGAAAAATCGGTAATTACAAGGAATTTATTTTTATTTGCGGTTTTTTCTTTCTGAAGGGGAGACCGCACTGAAATTTCGGAATCGCCAGTATCTTCATCTCTCGCGCTGATGAATTTACACTTCAGTTTTGATTTTAAAAAATTAGAAAATGGTTTTTAATTTTTTTATTGATCAGAAAAAGGCTTTAGGGGCCTAGAATCTTCGAAAGTTTCCTCAGGACACAATTGTCAACCAATCCAAACGTAATTAAACGACCTTTTTAGAAAATTTCAATTTTTTTCAATAGTTTTTTGGGTTTTTTTCTTAAATTAGGCTGAAAAATTGATAGAAAAATAGAAAAATTCGTGATATTCGCTATAGAATAAGTAGATAAAGGCTCCTGCGATTTTTAATTTCAGTGCAGTCTCTCCTCAAAAGAAAGTGAAATGAAAATAAATCTTCAAAGGAGAAATGAAAAATTTAATGACACGACTACGGTATTATTACAATAATTTTGACAAATTGTCGTCAATTTTTGAATCAACGTTGGGAATATATTATTATTTATTGAGATCTGATGAAATTGACGACGAGAAATACTTCAACTGGTGCAGTTTTCGAGAGGATGAAAATGGGATTGCGAAAGCGTCGAAAAAAACGATGGAAATTACATGCTATTTATTTATTGGATTGTCTAAGTGATGCTGGAATGTCCTGGTCCATCGGTTTTTTCGAGGACTTCCGAGGAAGACTACCGGCGATCTGTATATAATGATGTAGATGTTGATTATTTATGTCGAGAATCAATGTTTCGTACGACAGATTTTGTTAATAATATACAAACATTTTTTACGTGATTTAATGTCTCTGAGAATTATTTTTTCACCCAGAAATCCTTTCATTTGTGATTGACAGAAGACAATTTCAACCTGAAGAGATGATTTCGTTTTTTTCTGGAATTATTTCATTTTGATTTGAACATGAAAAATTTCTGATGATGAAACAGACAATTTTTTGGGGAATATTTTGACTTCATTAGTATCTCATCATCTCCTCAAATCCAATAAAATGCAAAACAAGTGGGAAATTTCTTTTATATTAATATAGCATAGTTTTTTGCTAATAAATTAGCAATATTCTTTCGAATGGTCAGTGTGCACATCATCTGCTTCTACAGTATATAATCCATCGTTTCATGTCATTTTATTAATCTCAATGAAATTTCTTCCTCAATCAATTGTGTTATATTTTTAATTTAGTTAAATATTTGATGAAATTTCAAATATGAAATAATATATATCTGTACCATGCATTTATTCGATGCAAGTGAAGTCGAAGTAGGTGGTATTAATAATAACTGAATTAATTTTAACCTTTCTTTTTTTTTATTCAAATAATCAGTGGAAGTGAATTTTCCAAAAGATGGAAAATCAACAAACTTTTGAATGCTACAAGAATAATTTCTGAAATTCTATTATAAATCGAATCGAATCTTTTAAAACTCGCCAACAATCAAAATCAACTTGAACCGTTCAACCACTTCACTGCTGAATTAATTTCGACGGACAGGGTTCGACAAAAATGAGTCAACACCATCGCTTTATCAGACCAATTAAATTGTTTCAAAACTATTGCCTCCAAAAAACCCCCTCGACCTCATTACCCCAAATAAAAAACTCCAATTCTCGCTAAAAACCGCGTTTATTACACCCTCATCTACAAGATCTCTCAGACCACCAAAAACCTCCAGACCATCCTCCCAAAAACCGCCACAATGACCACAAAAACCGGCAGAATCCTCCACACCTCCGGCATCATCACCCTAGCAGCCCGCCACTTGCTCGCCCCCTCCCTTTTCCCCCTTCC